TCCATCCCCTGTGACCCTCCACAGGTTGAAGTCGGTATAAATAATAAACTGGATGGATCTAAGGATCTTGGAATAATAGAATACTTTGAGGTATTACCACATTAAAACATCAAAAAAGCATCCTGTAAAAATGAGAAGTTTCTTTTCATAACAGGAAAAGAATCTTGTTTTGAGTATTTATGTGTGAGCATTGTTTTGTCATAGTGACAGCAACACACTGCTATAGAACCAATATGATTGATGGAGCTTTTGACATTTGCCAATTTGTTTTACATTTTGTTGTTGGTTGAAAGTTGTACTAATGCCAAGTCACAAAAGAACAGAGCACCAGCTGTAGAGACTGACAGCTCATTTACCAGAGGACTCAAGAAGACATGTTGCAGGGATGAATGACAAATACTCTCTGGAAGTCGCAATACAGATACATCATACGTTGACAGCTAAGAAGAATAAATGCAAGTGTAGAAGTCTTAATAAACTATAAAATGAAGAATTGTTGTCAGTGTATTTGAATATGTTTGGATTGCCTGGTCCAAGTGTTGACCTATGGATCCCTCATCCATTGTTTTTCTACATAAATTTTCAATTTAAAAAAGTTACGTGTAAATGGTAAATCCTCTGTATTTATTTAGTGCTTTATACTTCAGTGGTAATCCGAGCGCTTGACAAGATTTCTCATTTATCAAGCATTTCACATAAATCACTGCATGCTGCTGTCTAATTGGACAACATTCTCTTTACACTGATCTTCCAAAACAGAAAAAAGGGTGTGTGAGGGGGCTGATGCATGGAGATTAGCTTGTTCAACAAAATGTGCACAATTAAGTCTTTATTTGTCTTTATTTTTATTTTTACAGTAATCAAAAACAAAAGGTAGGATTGAAAAAAAGGAAGGCTGTAGGAGCTGTGGATAAAGTGACCTGATGTCTCCACACAGTCAGTGGGACCCGTTTGTTTTGCCATGGACCCCAACTGAAACGTTTGACTAGAAAATGTGAAACACTTTCATTTCTCTTTGTATATAAAATGTGCTACACAAATATGTTCTTCCACAAATGCCAACCATGGACTGCATCTAAAAATCCCTTGCCGCCCACAAAGTCTTTTTACCGTAGACCATGAATATAAAAGACACATTCATCAAACCACTAACAAAACACTAAAAACACTTAGAAGGTAATTTACTAGTCCTTTTTAATTGTCATTTCTTACAGTAAATATTTGTGCAATGCTACCAGAATCTAGTAGGGACGGGTATTGTTACTACTATTCTTACAGATACTGCTTTTCGATCAAGTACTTTAACGGTCTCAGAGTGAGCTCTGAACCTGAAATTCTGAACAACAATTGAGATGATGCTCTTAAATCTAGACCGACAGCCACAGTTAAACAGATGTCTGAAGAATGCTTACTTTTAATCATTAACCCATGTTCGTACCATTTATTTACATCTGTGTGCAGGCTGCTAGCAAACATAACATACCTGGTTAGTGAAGAATGACCTACAAACATTTTCTGCATCAACTGCAGTGAGGTTTATTCAAGATTTTGAACGTGTACTTCTCTCCTCCATCATCACCTGTGTGTTGCTACACAGAGCTGCCAGTATTTAAAAATGTCACCCCAGTTCAATACCCTTCCCTAGAAACTAGAAAAGCTTTAAGCTATATTCATGTGTAAACAACCTCAGTACAGAGTCCACAGGATTAAGGGCAAGAGCAAGGAAAGACACTATATTGTACATGTGTGGTGAACTGCACCGTGACAGCAAACCCAGAAATGAAAAACTTTTAGTCACGCTCGTCCCAACACTCCGACGATGGCAATGTCGTGGTCACCGCTTTGATCCAAAGTTAAATATCTCAACATCTCTTGGACAGATTGCAACATGGATGCAGGAAATCAATGGACGTTAAAAAATGGTCTTTTCCGGCTCTTCATTTAATGCCATCAGCAGGTTAGCATTAGTCTGGTCTGACTCACTGGATGTAGACTGGGGATTAGTTTGCCATTCCTGCCTAACATACACGTTGTTTCAGTGAATTAGCCAATTTATTGATAGTACTTTGTTCCCTGCGTGAAAATCCATCCATCCATCCATTTTCTATACACCGCTTAATCCTCACAAGGGTCGCGGGGGGGCTGGAGCCTATCCCAGCTGACTTAGGGTGAAGGCAGGGGACACCCTGGACAGGTCACCAGTCTATCACAGGGCTACACTTAGAGACAGACAACCAAGCACACTCACATTCACATCTACGGACAATTTAGAATCACCAATTAACCTCAGCATGTTTTTGGACTGTGTGGGAGGAAGCCGGAGAACCCGGAGAGAACCCACGCTGCACGGGGAGAACATGCAAACTCCACGCAGAAAGATTCCGGTGCCCCCACCGGGACGCGAACTGGCAACCTTCTTGCTGCGAGGCAACAGTGCTACCAACTGCAGCCCCCTGCGTGAAAATGCTCCATCAAAACAATTCCCCCCTCACTACTTTGCAGAGGAGGCACCACCATGGACGATCATGACTGGTTTAAGAAATATACAAACAGCCGGAGCAGTTACCCCCTGTAGCGGGGTGATAATGAGGTGCAGTCAGACTATTCTCCAGCACTGACACAGGACTGTGGAGGCAGGTCTGGTTGTGAGAAACTAACATTTCAGTTCATCTTCCTGTTTAACATAAGCATGTTAGCATGCTGGCATTAATATTTAGTTCAAAGCACTACAGCATACGCACAAAGCTTCCCACAGCTGACAGCATGGCTCTGGACTCCAAGCCTGGTTTATGGAATTCCACTTTAGTTCCACTCTAGACTCTCAAGTGTGACAACCTTCTCAGAGGTCATTAGCATTAACACATTTGGTTATTGGTCAATGACTCATATCAAAGACTGTAAATGTTAATCTTGAAGTTACATTTATTTAGCAGCCATAAGGGAATCCAGACATTCCAACTAATCCATTCCAGTAAAGGGCAGAAAACCATCCCTCCGGGTCATCCAGAGTTAACAATCTGATGCTTTTTTTTTTCTTCTTCTCTGAGAGCTGCTGTTACTTCAGTCATACTAATTTGTTCAGCTGAGTCAGACAGGCATTCAGCTTGTTCCGCTCTCCCCAAGTTTCTGCATGTGTCAGAGCCGGAGACAACGATATGCTCCTTGTAAGGACTGAGGCAGGTTGAGACAGAGTTCGCTGGGTCTGTGCAACACATGAAACAACACCCAAGTCATGTGCTCCATTACACAGAAGCTGTTTCATGACATCCTGAGGTTGCAATCTAACTGTGTACACTGAACTCAAGGACATTCACCCTGCTCTTTTGATTTACTTACTGACATATCAAACACGTCATTTATTCAGACTGTGACAAACTTGATACACTGAAGTTTTAACACTCCTCATGTTGGTAGTCTTGATGTTGTTTATTCCTTTCTGCACTTTGGATGAAATTTGTTTTTTTTTAACACACACACAGATCAATATATTCTTTGCTTCATGTTTGAAAGCAGTTTACTTTAAGTGCCTAAATCTGCTGCACAGCACTGTTTGTGAATGTGTGCACATGTAAGTGATTCAACATTTCTACCTCTTGTCTTTTGTGGCCGTAGCTATTTCATTAAGACTAATCGTGGCATTAAGAGGAAACGGTTGGCTTTACACTATGAAAAGTAAATCAAACAAGCATTCTACTAACTCCTTTATGTACAACTTTCTGATCGGATTTGATTTTGGAGAAGTCACACATTCAGGATGTTTGCCCAACAATTGCCAAGTACTGTGACTGCACCAGATCAAACCTAAGCCTCTTAAATTAACTAGATTAACTGAAATCATTTTCTTGATTCAATTTACAGTAACTTGATTCTTGAACTAGATGAAATGTAAGTTTCTCATACAACGCATTAGGCGACACTGAGGAGTGTTTTAGCTCCCGTCTCTTGAAGGCCCCACTAAAAACATTACATAGGCTCCTGAAAGTTGGATTCATTTTTGACACTTGGATGAACAGAATCATCATATAATTCTCAGCTGATATAGCTAACAGTTGCCTATTTACACATAAAGGACATACAGAGCAACCAGTGGTGGTTAACGTAAGGTGCTGCGTCCACATCCCCTTCTGTTTATCCAGAGTAGAAAAGTTAAAAATAAATGAACATGTTGCAAAATATAAACAATATTAACAACAACATTAGTGAGATGAGATGAGAGCAGTGAGTGTGAAAGTGAACTGAGCCTTAAAATCAGAGCAATGATGTTAAACGGTTCTGTAAGGTCAAGGAGAATTACAGTTATTGTCATATTCCACTGCAATACTAAACTTCTTGTTTGAATTGCAAGAACCGCACCTGTAGAGCCTCTTCTAGAAAAAAAAGTATATTCTCCAGACGAAGTACTTCCGACCAGCCCTGACACACTCGTGTGCAGGTCTAAATGGTCAAACCTGGAGAGAACAACAACAACCATTTATCTTTCCTCTCTGTGTCCTCATCAAATGGAATTCTTCTCCTCTCTAACGTCACCATCGTCACAGCAAAATTCACCATATAGGCTAACATAGCAAATCTCCATCCTTCTATTACGTACATGTTCATATAGCTGGAGTTACAGCCACATGTGGTACATAACAGTACCACAGCAGTTTGTGTGCAGAAAAGCTGAAAGGGCTCATTAAAGAGGCATTCCTGTAAAGATTCACCCCACATTGCGCCTGCCTCATGTTCGTCCAGTGGAAAGCCACCTGTCATTTGTACTGTATCACTATAACTGCATGCCTGTGAACTATTGTTCCCAATTCTGAAGGGACTTGAAGACAAAAGAAAAAGTTTTTCATGTCAACAAATGTGTTTTCTGCCTGTAGCTTGAAGTGTACAGATTTGGTGAGGACTAGGAGTACCACGTATAGACAGCAGTGTCAGAGATGTTCGTGTGTGTGTGTGTGTGTGTGTGTGTGTGTGTGTGTGTGTGGTAGTCAACAAAAGTCAGGATCACTTACCTACTCTGAAGTTCGGTGCTGTCAGGGTGTCTGTGGCGTGGCCGTTTTCACTGATGATGGTAGTGGTGTTTCCCAGCTCACAGTTGTTGTGACATCTGCCCCCTATGCAGGTCAGTTTGCAGATGGTGGGTGTAAAGACCACCTTGATCCGTCCTGTATGGTTGCCCACTGTCGTCGCAAACATGACACAAACCAAAAGGAGGGGGAGGGAGAGCAGAGGAGCTTTGATTATTCTTTGATCCATTAGAGGTAAATTACTTACAGGTTCAAGCTTGTTAAAATCATCTGGTAAGGCTCCGACAAACAACAAAAACAAAAAAAAAAAAACGACTTTGTAATTGTCAATTTCTCAAAAATTTGTGATGTGTCTCCTCCCTGTACTTCACGCACTTCAAACCACCTCTGCCTATCTGCTCCTCCTCCCTCCCCGCTGCTCTAAATCCAGTGGCGCCTCTGAAATGTCAGCAGGAATAAAGAAAAAAATGTGGGAGAGGTAGAAGTCAGCAAACAAAACTCTGGGATGGCTTCCAGGTCTTCATCAGAAGTCTATGAGAGGTGGATATTGGCATATCAGCAATAGCAAGCTTTACTCCAAAACAGACAAACACCGGCTATGCCACCTGAGCTGCGTCTGCCTTCCTTTCGCTTGCGTTTTCTTTTCATTCCTTCTTTCTCCTTGATTTGTACTTTTGAGCTTCACTTAACAAGCTGAGGAACATTAGCACCTCGAATAAAGGAAAGGGTTCTAAAAATCCTTTGCTCTGAGTCTGCACTGGAGAAGTTGCAGTAGCCTTTAGGAGGATTGTAAGACAAAAGCATATTAACCCGTTTCCCTGTCTGCCGTGTCTTCCTCCTCACCCTGATGAAAGCCAGCCCTCAGTTCCGACTGACAGGAAGAGTGCAAACTTGAATCTGAGAAATTAAATCCGGTCTATCTCAAAGTACCTGACATGTATAATGTTTCTACCTACTGTACAACAATCTCCTGCATACGTCTCTTCAATTACAGTAGCTTTTTCCTTTAATCTTTCAATTTATTCACTTCTCTGGATCTTTTAATATCTCTTCCCTGTGCGGTGGTTCTTGGCATCCCTGTGTCAGTTCCAAACCCCTGTCTCCAGCACTCAGTGCTTTGTCTGTGGCTGTCAGCTGTTAACGCCAGAGAGTGCAGACTCATGGAGTAAAGCCAAGCAGCCGGAGGAATGGATTCTAAACCTGAGAGGCAGGAAAAACCACTGGATAAGACGCCCCAGGCTACCTAAACATTCCCTAATAGGTGCAAAAATTAACTATTAAAGAGGGACCTAATATGATGTAGTGGTTACAAGTGAATGCCAATGGAAACTGGTTTAAAGAATACTGCCAGGATCATATATAGACGTCCAAGATTTGAAGTCTAAACATGGTTTGCCCAATTCCCTCTGGTGGGAAGATTATTTCCAAAAAGAAATAAACAAGGAAAAGAGAGTGGCAAAGTAACTGTTGAAGGAGAAAGGGAGGGGTCTCTCTTGTTTAAAGGAACAATCCGTGAGCTAAATGTAAACAAAAGGTTTCAAAACTCACAACTGGAAACTGCTTATCACCAACTGACATATTATTGTTGGCAGATTATCTTTAAAGCAGACATTAGTCTAAACTGATGCTGATGCTATGACAGATTTATTAACATCACTCAATTTTAAAAGCATCGTGTTAAGCCTAATATAATTGTTTTAACAACTAACTGAGAAACACAAATTACAGATTTTCAAACTCGTCAATTAAGTACAGTGGAAAGTAAACAGTACATGACCCCTATGGAATGACCTGACTTTGTGCCTTTATTGCTAGTAAACTGTGATCCAATCATCATCAAAGTCACTCTTGTAAACAAACAAAATGTACTTCAGCTAAGAACAAAAAAATTATCATACTGTATGTAGTTTTTTTGTACACATCTATTAAAGATTCCTTGTGCTGCTGAATAAAGGAAGTAAATTATTGGATTTAATTGCAGTTTGAATCTCTTTCAAAAGGTAAAACCTGGAAACAAAAAACAAAAAACTGTTTCAATCCAAACAATGTTCAGGAGAAGTTTTAGGTCATAATCCTTTACTGAGCTGCTTCCTCTCAGACATATTCTCAGGGTGTCTGGGAACAGCTCTCTGAGGTCATTCAACAGCATCTCTGCTTGGATCCGGTCAGGCCTCTGGCTTCAAAAGGTGGACTATCTTTGTTTGAACTCCATTTGTTATAGATTTACTTGGATGTTTATGATCATTGTCCTGTTGAATCCCCCAGTTTCTACTAAACTTCAACTGGACATCATTCTGATATTATCCATTAATATACTGATAACCTTGGGAATTCACTTTCCTCATGAGTATCGAAGGCTGTCCACACCCAGAGACACCGAAGCCCCAGATCATGATGCTTCCCCTACCATGCTTCACTTCAGGGATAATGTCTTCATGTTTGAATGCAGTATGCAACCAACATAATGTCAGTATTCTTCCAAAACATATATAAACTCAGCTTGATCAGTCTCCCCAACATTTTCCCGGTAGTATTGTGAAGTGTTGAGCTGCTTTTTGGCAACCTAAAGGTGCACATCAATGTATTTTAGGAGAGCAGTGGCTTCTTTAGTGGTGTCCTGCCGTGAACATCATGCCAGTTCAATAATATGCATATGATAGAATCATGTAACCATTGCTGTAGTGTTTTGCTTGTCACAGAAATAAGAAAAGGCAAAAATAAAAATAAACTGCACTTAATGGGTAAAATCCCTGCTTTACTTAGTGGCACAGCAATTAGACAGCAACCGTTGAACCATGCAAAAGAGCAGCTGCTGATAAGAACTGATTAAATCCAAAAATGCTGGACACATGGAAAAAAAGGAAAAATACAGTCAAAGACACCTGATAACCAGATGCCTGCATCCGACCCTTAGGCATGAACTAAATCTGCAACAGAATTCCATTGCTTAAATGGTGATAAAGTTTTAATTGCTGTCAAGCTATGTGTTGTTTTCTGACAGCTTTCTAAGCAGCTCCATGTTCTACACCAATCCTAACATGCAAGAATTACTCTGACAAGGCTCTGTGCTGCAGGTCCTTGGCCACAGCGATGATAAAACATTTCTAAATCCTCTGAAACCTTCCTCCGTCCACTGACTTCACTTCTCTGCATCTGTAAATTTGCACACGTTGCCGGCAGATTTTGTTGGTCGTGTCGAGCATATGGAGAGGGAGTCAGGAGAGCATCTCAGACACAACACAGACATCAATCAACTTGAAGGAAGAAAACGTTCAGGATGAGATTCAGCCAGGCTGCAAAGAGGCTAGAGAGAGTGTAGCAGTGAGGAATGACAGCGTAAATACAGCAGTCAGGGGGTAATTTCTTTCTTTCTGATGCTTTCCATTGCACCACGTTGGGCTTATGTGAGCCATGCAAGGGAATAAAAGTGCAGAAGCCTCAGAAGAAAAGTTTGGCAGTGGGAACACTATAGTAAGGGTTGACTGGGAATACAATTTTTAAAATAAATTGCAATGTTTTTGGACATTAGGACCATTAGCCATTCATAGCGTATTTGCATATACAGTGATGAGCCGAAATGTTATGACCAACCCTGTCCAATATCCCTCGTGTGGCGCCGAAAGCAGAGCCACTGTGGATCAGATTTGTTCCAATGTGTTCCCAACACCCTGTCGCAGGTTGGGTTTGTCTCTTCAGACCACTATCAGTAGGCACCACTGCAGACCAGGTGCACAAACAATGCCGCATGCTGACTTGTACCTTGTCAAAACTGCGATAGTAGGTATCGAAAACACACCATGATATCGTGACCTCTTTGATCACAAGTGGCATAGAGCCTTATAATTTGCAGACCTTCCTGTTATTGTAACCCTGACAGGCCACAGCTTCAGCAGTGATTGTTCTATAAAAGAATAACTTTATTTTAGCTTGTGGTCTACATCAAGGGCACTGGCAGAAATATGATAAAGCCCATCTGAAGAGGTGGTAATGCACATTTTCTAAGAAAATGAGAAACATTTTTGATTATTTTACTGAATCCTGAAGGCATAAATAGGGACTTTGCAGTCCTTTTGATTGTGCTTTTAGAATGTCTGCATGGTACTGAGGAAGAAAGCATTGGTATCTAAAATAAATTGGTCCTACAATTTCATAGCACTAAGGTCTACATAAAGTTGTGCCAGAAAGCCCTACTCTGATTGCAAACTATCAAGGCATTCTTCTTTGGTCACTGCAGTGATGGCGAGGAGATTCTCTCTGACCAAGCCTTCAATCAGGGCTAAGACTACTAACATTTGTCTAAGGTTGTTTTGGCAGTGTGGGAGAGCTGAGGGATAGCTGAGGGGAGATGGGGAATAACTTTCCCAGATGTGGCACCAAAGCCAGTTGCTGACAGGCCGTCTGTCGCGTGGGACAGGGCTGACAGAGAGGCTGCGGGCTTCCTGTTTTAGAAGAGCAAGCATGTCTGCTACTTTCACCAAGTGTAGACTTGACTGCATGCTGGGCAAAAAAACAGCCATGGTATTCCCATTAATTTAGGCTCAGAGGCCTGCTATTTGTAGATGCACGACTTTACTGTGTTACACAGCAAGTGGTACACAATTGACAGGTATAGTCATGTACTTCACAAGGATTCTGGTTTAAATGTCTTGTTGACATACAGACAGCCAAACTCGCTCCTCCATAATGTAAGCGTAGAAATCAGAAATTTAATGTGATATTAGTGTGCATTGCAATCTGCCACTTCATTGTTTTCTTCAAATGTTCAAAATAATTTTTGTTCCATCGAAGAAAACGGCTGAGGTACATTTGATATACGACTGTTGTGTTGTCTTAGTAAATGTGATCTACTAAATCATGTATATCTAGGGTTGCTTCTCCAGTTGTTGATTTCACATTAAAGTCCAGTTTTGAGACTGTCTTTGGTACACTGCAACTTCAAGATGAAAATGCTCAGTCAGCCATGTTGATGAGTGCTTATTTTGCTCATATGTCTTCTAGCATGTACAAAAACACCATATGGACAAGTTGACACGGTACAAAAATCTATTTTCTTCAAAGGGGGTCTTAAAAACCAGTTCTACATTGACCAAAACATTTAGATTTTCTTAGGTTGTAGTGCCAACAAATTTCTTATCATATCTTTTATCTCTTTT